AAAACCCAGAGCACTCCTGCCACAAAAGCTGATTTTTTGGGGTCTGACAGAGCCTGAAGTGTCCATTCCTCCCAGAATGGATTTCACACAAATGTTAAAAACCTTTAACAGGGCACAGCCACCACCAGGAATAACCAAGCTTCTGCCAGGGAAAGAAATTGCTTTTTTTTTCTCCCCAAATTTGGCAGAGAAAGGCCCAAATCTGAGTCAGAGATAAGGGTTTGTGTGGGGCTGATGGAAATGCCAGGGGGACAGAGCATCCTCTCTCTGGGTAATGCAACTTTTAATTTCAAAACCAGCTATAAAATAACTTGTAACAAAAATAAAATAAAAATAAATCATCCTGGATGCAGGCAGTGGCTGAAAGTCTGAAGCAGATTGCCAGAACTTTTTAGATTATTTATTTAAGTGGTTTTTAATAGTTAATTGTTCTGGAGGGTCCTTCCTGGTAATGTGGGAAGGGAAAATATCTTGGAAAGGTGCAGGGCAGGAGGGGAAATGTTTTCTCATGGGTTGGTGAGGGGGACGTGTCCCCTCCACCCAGGGGACATCCTGGCTGTGCCCAGAGCTGCAGCCTGGCCAGGAATTCTGCATTTCTGCATTAAATCCTGAGCTGGAGGAATGACAGGGATGGAGAAAGCACAGCAAAAATCCCACAGGGAGTGGGAACTGAGCTGGGCCCTGTCCCTGCAAGGTTTCCCTGTTCCCAGGGGTTGCTGTGGAGATCTCAGCGGGTTTTGGGGCTGGAGTGGGGGATTTGTGACCCCAATTATTTATTAACTGTCCTGTCCCCATGTGTGGGGATGAAGGAAGGGCAGGGCTGTGGATCCAGCCAGGCTCTGGTGACAAAGCCACCACGGGACACAAGGGAGGAACTCAGAGCCCAAAGGCTCAGAAGTGAGCAGGGACAGAGGGGGAGCAGGGAGGGAGCTGGGCTCTGTCCCCTGGAACCACCCAAGCAGAGACAAACCAGCATTTCCAGAGCAAACCCTCCCCTTTGGGCAACGGCCCAAAAACCAGGAGAATCCCCACGGGATTTTATTGCTTAAAACTCCAGAGGAGAGGAGAACTCCAGGGCAAACACAAAAAGCGAGCAGTGACCTCTGGGGGTGTCACCTCCCCATTTGTGTCACCCCCCATCTGTGTCACCCCCCCCATTTGTGTCACCTCCCCATTTGTGTCACCCCCCCATTTGTGTCACCCCCCATTTTTGTCACCTCCCCATTTGTGTCACCCCCCATTTGTGTCACCTCCCCCATTTGTGTCACCCCCCATTTGTGTCACCTCCCCAGGGTGGCTCTGGGCTTTGTTCAGTGCTCAACATTTGGGGGGTTGGGGAGCAGAGAATGGGGGCTCAGGGGGGCCTGGGCTGGTGTCACCCCTGGGATGGCGTCACCTCAGTGCCAATGTCACCCCTGGGACGGTGCCACTACAGGGCCGGTGTCACCCTGGGGCTGGTGTCATATCAGGGCTGGTGTCACCCCAGTGCCAGTGCCACCCCCTGGCCCCCATTTGTGTCACCCCCCATCTGTGTCACCTCCCCCATTTGTGTCACCCCCCATTTGTGTCACCTCCCCCATTTGTGTCACCTCCCCATCTGTGTCACCTCCCCAGGGTGGCTCTGGGCTTTGTTCAGCACTCAACACTCACATTTGGGGGGTTGGGGAGCATAGAATGGGGGCTCAGGGGGGCCTGGGCTGGTGTCACCCCTGGGATGGCGTCACCTCAGTGCCAATGTCACCACTGGGACGGTGTCACTACAGGGCTGGTGTCACCCTGGGGCTGGTGTCACCCTGGGGATGGTGTCACCCCTAGCCATTGTCACCCCAGGCCAGTGTCACCTGGAGATGGTGTCACCCCCTGGCCATTGTCACCCCAGGCTGGTGTCACCTGGAGATGGTGTCACCCCCAGGCTGGCGTCACTCTGAGGATGGTGCCACCCTGGAGATGGTGTCACCCCCTGGCCATTGTCACCCCCAGGCTGGTGTCACTCTGAGGATGGTGTCACCCTGGGGATGGTGTCACCCCGGGGATGGTGTCACCCCTGGCCATTGTCACCCCAGGCCAGTGTCACCTGGAGATGGTGTCACCCCCTGGCCATTGTCCCCCCCGGCCGGTGCCCCCCGGCAGGAGGGGCTGCCCCGCTCACCGCTGGCTCCGCTCCCTCCTCCAGCAGCTCCGGGGCAGGGCCGGGCTCAGTCTCTGGAGGCAGCGATGCGATCCACCTGCAAGAGGGAACAACAGCAGCTCCACCTGCAAGAGGGACAGGGGGCCCCAAAAACAACAGCTGCTCCTTCTCCGGGAATAAACTGGAGCTGGGGCTGCTCCCCTGGAGATCCCCGAGGAAATGAACCCGTGAGGAAGAAGGGGTGGAAAGCCAGAGGGAAAATTCCAGGGGTGGAATTCCAGGGGTGAAATTCCTGGGGTGGAATTCCAGGGCTGGAAATTCCAGGGGTGGAAATCCAGGGGTGGAAATTCCTGGGGTGGAAATTCCAGGGGTGGAAATTCCAGGGGTGGAAATCCAGGGGTGGAAATCGCAGGGTTTTATTCCCTGACAAAGCAGCCAGGTGTGTTTCAGCCCTGAGCCCCCTGCTCTGACCTGAGCCTCGGGGTCCCAGCCCAGCCTCACCCACCCAGGGCCCTCCAGGAGCTGTGGAACGAGGGTGACACTCACTGTGCTGTCTCAGGGATCAGTAAATAATAACTCAGTAAATAATAATTAAGGTACAGGAAAACAGATCCTGCCTTAGGGGGATCTCACAGGCTTTCTTGTAAAGTGGGAAAAAGCCCAGTTAGGACAGGGCAGGTGAAATATGAGAGATGAAATGCAGAATCTCTGACCCAGAAGAGCCTCACGGGGCAGGAGAGGGGAGAGTTAACCCCTGAAGTTTTCTGCTTTGCCCACCCAGCCTTAACTTCCCCAGGGCTCACCTGTCCTCAGTGGATTTAACTAAAGACCAGGAATTCCATTGGGTTAATGTAGGGCACTTGATTTTTTTTTTTTTTTTTTTTTTTTTTTTTTTTTTTCCTTTTTTTTTTTTTTTTTTTTGCCAACCCAAATATTTTTGTTTCTTCTTCTTCCTGTCCTGGTGAAGAGGAGGGACTCCATGCTTTGAGGCAAGTTTGGTACATTCAGGTAGGATCTAAAATTAGCCACAGCTAAACACTGACTTAATCTACTTCATTTCAGCCCCTCCCTCTCTCCCTCCCTCCATCCACCAGGGCCACCAAGCTTGTGGCACCAGGGACTGCTGGGGACAGCCAGGGAGGGGACAGGCCCAGCTCTGCACTGCTGTGTGTGGTTTGTGCCTTCAGAGGCTTTGGGATGGGCTGAAGGCTCAGCCTGAGGGTTCTGCTCGTGCCAGGGGGCTGGGAAAGCCTCTGGGTGGTGTTTTTTGGGCCCCAGGAGATGGCCCTGCCCAGGGACAGGCACTGATGGGCTCTGCACAGAGTGCTGACTGTGAGAAATCTGGGTACAAAACTGCCCACAGCCCTTCTGCAGCAGAGCCAGGGGGATAAAAAGCATTCCTGGCTGCAGCAAATTCCACGTGCTGCTCAATTTGCACGAGTGTGGGATCTGGGTGAGAGCTGCAGGGCAGAAAGGTGTGCTGAGCTGGGAGCTCTCTGCTTTTTTTTGGGAATTAAAACCCCCCAGGATCTCAGGGCTTCCCTCTGAGCCTCTGCAGGTGAGGGGCAGAGCTACTCACACCAAAATAAAGTGGCCACGGGAGGAGCTGCTAGTCCAGGTGGCAAAGGTCTCATCTGTATTTACCTGTGGCTCAATTTTAGAGACAGAGCTACTGAATTTTTCCAACACCTCAGTGAGGAAGGAGAGAATTTCACTGGCTCAGTAAGCAAAACATTCATTTGGGAGAGCAGAAGACTGACTGGCTGTCAATAAATACCACGAGACACCCTAAAAGCTTTCTAAGGGAAACATCATCTGTTCAGAAATGCAACACGGGGACAGAATGAGGTAAGGAAAGCCAGCAAGAGTCCTTGGTGCATCCCCACTTCACACTGCATGGCAACAACAACCACGAGGAGATGCTAAGGAGCTCCCTGCCACGCCCAGCAGGGAAATTCCTCCTCCAGGTGAGCTCCAGAGCATCCCTGGGGGCTGAGCCCACAGCATCCCTGCAGGAGCTGCCTTTGGGTTTGAGCCCAGGCAGGAGGAGGGGACACTGCCCGTGCCCTGAGCCATCAGTGCCACCAGCTGCAGGGGACAGGGGCTGCTGTGGCACACCCAGGGAGCTCAGCACCACCTCCCTGGCACTCCCAGCTCAGCTCTTTGGTCCTGTTTGCAGCAGGGTGTGACAGCCTGCACTGGCACACTTCTGCTGCCCCTGCTCTGTGCCAGGCAGGAGAAAAGCAGAGCTGGCTGCAGGGGGAGGAAAAGGGCCTTGAACCATCCCCTGGTGGGGATCATTAACTCTGTTAATTAACAGATGCTGTTCTGAGAGCAAAGGATGGGGCACTGCACATCCCTGGGCCAGCCCTGCAGGGGCTCTGAAGCAAGCTGAGGAGGAGGAGGAGGAGGAAGAGCACCTCTCTCCCACCTGTGAGCACTGCAAAATCCTTGTTTTTCCCTCAATTCTCCTCCTCCAGGGAAGCAGGGAGGGCTACAGGGAGGTGATGTTTAGGCCAGGGCAGTGCCTCACACACAGCTTGTGCTGAACTAAAATGCAGAATTTACCACTTTGCTCTTGAACAGACACCAGCAGCACGGCGTGTTCACAAACCAACAGGTGGGACAGGTTCATAAACACATGCATTGGAGAAGCTTTTCCAGGCACACAGAAAAAAAAAGTAAGCAAAGAGACAAAACCCAAATGATAAACACTACAGACAGAAAGAAGACATCTCCTGCTACAGCACACAACAAACACGGTACAGCCTGGTCCCCACGAGCCCAGCCAGCTGGAAATGTACAGCACACAGCATCTACACAGAGGAAATGTGGGTTTGCCACTCAAATCTCTATTTACGGGGCACTGCACATCCCTGGGCCAGCCCTGCAGGGGCTCTGAAGCAAGCTGAGGAGGAGGAGGAGGAGGAAGAGCACCTCTCTCCCACCTGTGAGCACTGCAAAATCCTTGTTTTTCCCTCAATTCTCCTCCTCCAGGGAAGCAGGGAGGGCTACAGGGAGGTGATGTTTAGGCCAGGGCAGTGCCTCACACACAGCTTGTGCTGAACTAAAATGCAGAATTTACCACTTTGCTCTTGAACAGACACCAGCAGCACGGCGTGTTCACAAACCAACAGGTGGGACAGGTTCATAAACACATGCACTGGAGAAGCTTTTCCAGGCACACAGCATTTCATTTCATTTCATTTCATTCTCATCATCTGAGCCTTTGCTGGCACTGAAGTGAAGGAGTCCCTGTGGGTTTACACCAAGCAGAATTGCCACAGAGTCTTTGGAATACTCCCCTGTGCCAGGGGAACTGGGCACTCCCCATTTGCTAAAGCCATTTTTCAGGGGCAGTAAATCACCTGGAATAGTCACCAGCAGGTTTGACAATGCCTGTGGAAAGCCAATTCAAAACCCAGCAAGATGGGAGGAAATTCACCTTTCCACATTAGGAAATGCATAATAACTGCCCTTTGATGACTCTGACAAAGTCAGGTTTTCAGTCCTGAAGGTGTTATTTTCTGTCTCATTTTTGATTCTCTTCAAGCTTGTTACAGAAACATGGCCAAGGTAATTTCTTTAGGCAATTTCTTTATTACCAAGGCAATTTTCAAAGGTTGTTTCTGTTGTGTTTATGGAGCCTTTTTATCCCTTTCAGGTGTGTTGCACAGAGCTGGGTCACTCAGGTGTGTCACAGCCAGGTGTGTCACAGCCAGGTGTGCTCTCAGTGCCCCCCAGTTCCAGGGGAAATCCTCAGCACAGGAAAAGCTCCCCTTGTTTTAGCAGCCCCAAGCAGCAGCAGCAGCAGCTCAGAGCCAGCCCTGGCCACCCCTGTGCCCTCAGCCCAGCCAGGCTGGGGTCCCGTGGCCACCATGGCTAGGAGATTGTCACTTGCTCTGGATTTGGCATGGATAAAACCCCTCTGGAGCAGCATCAGCTCCCTGGCACCTTCCCAGCAGGCTGTGCCAGCTGAATTCCCTCCTGCTCCTGAGGCAGGGGCTCACCCCAAGGCTTGCCTGCAGCTTCCTTCACTGCTGGAATTCCTGCCCAGGCGTGAGCAGTGCCAGCTCTTGTTCCAGTTGTGTGTCCTGGGGTCCTGCTCCACTGCCTGAGAGCACCACAGGGCACTGAGAATCCTTCAGAGCTTTCCCATCAGTGACTGGGATGAGCCACGTCAGGGGAGGGACAATGACACCAGCTCAGAGTAACCCCTCACCTAGAGGACTCAGCAATCTTTAAGGAAAACCATTTAACATCTTTCATGGAAGTCTATTGATCCAAAAAAACAAAAAAAAAAAATCCAGAGCTATTGATGTGGAATCAACTGGACAATCACTAATGCAATGGAATTATGGTGATCTTGTACACAAACAACGATTTACCAAAATAAGATTTACCTAGGGGGCTTTAAAATCGAGTTATTTTGGTACCAAAAAAAGTCTTTCATTGAATTCCCCTTTGCCCCTATGATTCAGATGATCTTTCACTCTACAGTTACGGACTTGGCCAGATTTCTTGGAAAATCAACCTGCAGAGAGGGAGGAGAAAGAACAGGCTGGTGAGTATTTACACAGTGGGTTTGTTTGTGTTTAACTCTGTAACCTGTGCAATGCCTGCTCTGCCTTCCATCCAACACATCCTCACGTTCATTTAGGCCAATCAGTGCAGAAAAAAAGTTCACAACCCTGCTTCTTACATCTCCTGGGTCAGAAGTAGGCAGAGCTTTAGTCCAGGCTGCTCCCAGAGGTCCCTGCTGGCAGCCAGGGGCCAGTGTCTGCACTGAGATCACACAGCAGACTGCTTGCCAAGCAGCCCCTGAGGGCTGTCACCTTCCCTCGAGCTCCCTGCAGCCTGCCTGCTCCTGCACACGGCCACTCCTGCATCCTGCGCTGGCCCCCGTGGGCCTGGCCCTGCAGCGGCTCAAGCAGCGGCACAGAGAAGCCCCCAGCCCCACAGCAGCCCCCAGGGGGTGTGACACAGGGGGTGTGACACAGGGGGTGTGACACAGGGATGTGTGACACAGGGATGTGTGACACAGGCATGCTGTACCCAGGGGGTGTGACACAGGGATGTGTGACACGGGCAGGGTGCGTGACACAGGGATGTGTGGCACAGGGGGTGTGTGACACAGGGATGCTGTACCCAGGGGGTGTGACACAGGGGGTGTGACACGGGCAGGGAGTGTGACACAGGGGTGTGTGACATAGGGGGTGTGACACAGGGGGTGTGACACAGGGGGTGTGACACGGGCAGGGAGTGTGACACAGGGGTGTGTGACATAGGGGGTGTGACACAGGGGGTGTGACACAGGGGGTGTGACACGGGCAGGGAGTGTGACACAGGGGTGTGTGACATAGGGGGTGTGACACAGGGGGTGTGACACAGGGGGTGTGACACAGGGGGTGTGACACAGGGCTGCTGTATTCAGGATGTGTGACACAGGCAGGGATGTGTGACACAGGGGGTGTGACACAGGGATGTGACACAGGGTGTGTGACACAGGGATGCTGTACCCAGGGTGTGACACAGGGATGTGTAACACAGGGTGTGACACAGGGGTGACACAGGGCTGCTGTATTCAGGATGTGTGACACAGGGTGTGTGACACAGGGATGTAACACAGGTGTGACACAGGTGTGACACAAGTGTGACACAGGGGTGTGACACAGGGGTGTGACGCAGGGGTGTGACACAGGTGTGACACAGGGATGTGTGACACAGGCAGGGTGTGTGACAGAGGATGTGTGACACAGGTGTGACACAAGTGTGACACAGGGGTGTGACGCAGGGGTGTGACACAGGTGTGACACAGGGATGTGTGACACAGGGATGTGTGACACAGGGATGTGTGACACAGGCAGGGTGACACAGGGCTGCTGTATTCAGGATGTGTGACACAGGGATGTGTGACACGGGTGTGACACGGGGGTGTGACACAGGGGTGCTGTACTGTACTCACATCGTAGCCGCGGAGCACGGCCAGGTGGAAGGCCAGCAGCTGCAGGGGGATGACGCTCAGGATGCCCTGCAGGCAATCCACCGAGTGGGGCACTTTGATTGTTCTTTTGTTGTTCTTGATGGTCTCGATGTCCTCCTTGTCACAAATCACCACGGGCCGGCCCTGCAACACAGGGGAGGGCTGAAGGGAAGCACACCTGGGAGGTTCAGTGCCAGGGGCAAAATCTTACTTAATTTAGAACCAAACAGCTTCACATGCCCTGAGGGGATTTAAGGGTTAAACAGACCGTGCCAGGCTTCTGCAATTGCTGCAAGAACTGCTGTGAAATGGGCACAGTACTCAGGGAGCTCACAGGGGGCAGTGACAGCCAGGTGAGCACTCTGGGTGTCTGTGAGTGACTTTGCTCTCAGAATCAGCCCCTCTGGAGCCCTGCAGACACCAGGTGAGCACTCTGGGTGTCTGTGAGTGGCTTTGCTCTCAGAATCAGCATCTCTGGAGCCGTGCAGCCCCCCAGGTGAGCACTCTGGGTGTCTGTGAACTCCTTTCCTGTCAGAATCAGCCCCTCTGCAGCCGTGCAGCCCCCCAGGTGAGCACTCTGGGTGTCTGTGAACTCCTTTCCTGTCAGAATCAGCCCCTCTGGAGCCCTGCAGCCCCCCAGGTGAGCACTCTGGGTGTCTGTGAGTGACTTTGCTCTCAGAAGCAGCCCCTCTGCAGCCCCCCAGCCCTCACCTGGCGTGCAATGACCTGCTGCAGAGCGTTCTGGCACTTGGCATAGGTGTGGTCTCTCATGATGATCATGATCACAGGCATGAGCTTGTCCACCAGGGCCAGGGGGCCGTGCTTCAGCTCCCCAGCCAGGATCCCCTCCGAGTGCATGTAGGTGATTTCTTTGATTTTCTACAGGGGGGAAAAGAATTCATTACACTTTGAGCCAACCTTGTCGTGGTTTTTAACCAGCCCTGTGAATTCCTGCACTTTGTAGCCCTTCTCAGATGCAGGTGAGGCAGAACACAAGCCCAGACCCAAGCAGAGCCCCTGGGCTGGGCTGTTTGCAGCCAGCAGCACATCCAGCTGTGCCTGCCAGCTGTGCCTGCCAGCTGTGCCACCAGAGCCCCCAGAACCTGCCCTGAGCCACCCCCAGGCTGGCAGGGCAGGCAGAGGCAAACAGGACACCTCTGCATGGCAGTGGGGACAGCAGTGAGAACAGGAATGGCCTCCAGTGTAAAAACTGCAACACAGGGGTTTGGAAAGTGCACGCTGAGTTTTGCATTTATGAGGGTGCAGTTTGTCCAGTAAAGCATTCCCAGGAAATGGAAAATGCACCATGCACCCCACTGCAGGCTGGGGTGTGGCAATCTGACAGTGACTTCTAGGTATTTGTAATTTTAGGTAATTGTAATTGCCTAAACTTTGGATTTGTAATTTTAAGTATTTGTAATTTTAGGTATTTGTAATTACTTAAATTTTAAATTTTAAATTTGTAATTTTAGGTAATGGTCATTACCTAAATTTTAAATGTGTAATTTTAGGTATTTGTAATTACCTAATTTTTAAATTTTAAATTTGTAATTTCAGGTATTTGTAACCATGGCACAGTTTGGGTTGGAAGGGACCCTGAAGCCCACTCAGTTCAACCATCCCAGGCTTCTCCAAGCCCCAATGCCCAACCTGGCCTTGGGCACTGCCAGGGATGCAGGGGCAGCCCCAGCTCCATTTAACCCTGTGCTGGCCAAAATCCAGAGCCAAGGCTGCACCCCCAGCTGCACTGGAGCAGAAGCTGCAGAGGTGAGCAGTGTGTGAACAATTAAATCAGAACCTCCCAAGGTTCCCTCCCCAGCTGCACTGGAGCAGAAGCTGCAGAGGTGAGCAGTGTGTGAACCATGCAACCAGAACCTCCCAAGGTTCCCTCCCCAGCTGCTCTGGAGCAGATGCTGCCCCTGAGGGAGGTCTGAAATGGGTGTCTCTGTGTGAGCCATTCAAGGAGGACGTACCAGGGCTCCCTCCAGACACGTGGCGTAGTGGTAGCCACGTCCCATGATGAGGACAGACTTCTGGTGGTACAGCTCCGTGGCCAGCTTCTGGATCTCATCATCCATGCTCAGCACCTCCTTAATCAAGTCTGGAGGGAGGTAAAACCCACACTGAGTGTGCTCACAGCCCACTCACCCCCCAGCCAGCAGTGACCTGCAAAACCCCCAGGCCCAGAGCTTGGCTGGCCCAGCTTGGTGGCCTGGAGACACCTGAGAGGACGTGGCTGAGAGGACCTGTGACAGCTCTGCCACCCTCCCTGCAAGGTCCAGCCCTGCTGAGCTGAGCAGCCCTGCAGATCCAGCTCTGCTGGGCTCCCCTTGCCCAGGCTCAGCCCAGATGGGCTCCCCCTGCCCAGGTCCAGCTCTGCTGGGCTCCTCCTGCCAAGATCCAGCCTTGCTGACCTCTCCCTACCCAGATCCAGCCTTGCTGAGCTCCCTTTGCCCAGATCCAGCCTTGCTGAGCTCCCTTTGCCCAGATCCAGCCTTGCTTGCTCCCCCTGCCCAGGCTCAGCCCAGATGGGCTCTCTCTGTCCAGGCTCAGCTCAGCTGGGCTCCCCCAGCCCAGATCCAGCCCAGCTGAGCTCCCCCTGCCCAGATCCAGCCTGCCTGAGCTCTCCCTACCCAGATTCACCTTTGCTTGCTCCCCCTGCCCAGATCCAGCCCAGCTGGGCTCCCCCTGGCCCACGTCCTACCTGGCAGCCCCTTGAGCCCCCTCATGATCTCCTTGCGCCGCTCCTGCATGGAGATCCTGTCGTCACACATCATCAGGGCAAACATCACCAGGGACACGAACTGGCTGGTGTAGGCCTGCAGGGGCACAGGGATGGTCACTGCTGCACCCAGCAGGTGCCACCTCAGCCCAGAGAGGCTGCTCTGCTTCCAGGTCAGCAGCAGAAATGAGCCTGGGCTCACCAGGCAGGTCTCACCTGGGCAGGTCTCACCTGGGCAGGTCTCACCTGGGATCTGCTCACAGCCCAGGGGATTCAGACACAACAACCAAGATTTGATATTCTACATCCCCTGCTGACTGCCAAACCCTGTTTTGTGACCATGCCCACGTCCTGCTTCACTGCAGGTGGCTCTGAGAGCACGAGGAGCAGCAGGGCACTGGCTGGAGGTGTTTTGGGGAAGCCCACCCCACCCAACCCCAACCAGATGGGATTTTTTTGGGCCACACTCAGGGAACACAAAGGCAGCTGTGATTTCCCAGCTCCCTTCTTTAGGAACAGCCTCTCCCCTGCCTGCAAGAGCTGTCCCTGCCTTTGGGGGGAATCCTGGAGGTGACAAGAGGGGTCACATCAGGGCAGGAATGTCACAGGGACACCTGAGGGACACCTGAGGGACACCTGAAGGACACTGCAGCTGCAGTTTGGCCTCTGAGGTCCTCCCAAGACAAAAGGGCTTGGGGCCAGCCTGGCCCTGAAGGGCTGCAGAGGTCAGAGCAAGGTGTGGAGTGGTTTTGGCACTAAGCAACAAGCAAAGTTCCACGTGGCTGCTCCGGGGTGGCTCTGAAGGAACCAGAAAAGCTGCATTTGTTCTGCCTGGAGGAGCCTGCTGGGGAGTGGGAGCTCTCTGCTGTCACATCAACATGCCTGGGCTGTTCAGAATATTCTCCAAAAGAAGTTCTGGGTGACCTCAGGGCAGAAACTTTTCAAGTTCTTATTTCCTCTATGCACAGCTTTGGTAACTCCCCACATGGTCAGAGGAAAAATGGCATTTATCTCCAAGCTGGAACTGCTGGCCATGTGAAAACAACAGGGACAAACAGCTCCTTCAAGAGTTTCTTGTAAGAGACTCATGAATTTTCCATGATCCAATCCCCCAATGAACTATTAAACTCAAATGTGGTTTTTGGCTGGATTTATGTAACAGATTGACATCATCTCGCCTCTAAATTTAACTAAACCAAAGCAGATTTCACCAAAATGAAAGGCAGCAAAGTAAGTTCTCTTCTACTGTATCTCACCCAGGCAGAACAATCCTGTTATCTGGACACAAATAGTGGGATTCTGTAAAAGACCATTCCCCCATTTGTTAAAAGGATGGTTTTAATATCCCATTTTCTTTGGTAAAGCACAGCCAGTGAGGGAGTTACATGCAGGCAAAGTTTTCTTTATCTTATCTAAAAAAATTAATTAATAAAAATAAAATAAATAAAATAAAATAAATTTAAATAAAATAAAACAAACATTTTATAAAATGAAATAAATATCACATTTTAATAAATTAAAATTAAATTACAATCGATTAAAATCCAAAAATAAAAATAAATCAAATAACAAATAAAAATAAAATGCAGGCCAGGAGGCAGCAGCTGCCCCTGGGGCTCACCTTGGTGCTGGCCACGCCGATCTCGGGGCCCGCGTTGATGTGCACGCCGCAGTCGGTCTCGCGGGAGATGGAGCTGCCCACGGTGTTGGTGATGCCCACGGTCAGGGCTCCCCTCTCCTTGCAGTACCGGAGGCACATCAGGGTGTCTGCAGTCTCCCCTGGGGCACGGGGGGCACGGGGGGACACAGACAGGGGGACACAGACAGGGGGACACAGGGACGGGTGCTCAGCGCCGCTGCCCGTGGGAAATGCCCAGACTGCCCAGGGTTGGTGCTCCCAGCACAAAGGAGGGGCAGCAGTGCCAGCCTGAGCCCTGAGCACAGGGCAGTGCCACCACAGAACCCACCTGCAGCTTTTGGTTAACAAAAGGCGGCTCTGGGGTTGTCCCTTCAACAAAAATCAACTTGATTTGTTTCCTGGTTAATAAAAACTCATCTGGGCCAGGCTGCTGTGCTGCCCAAGGTGGATTCACTGAGGGTTTAACAAATCCCGACTTTATTCTGTAACTCTGCTCTAGGTCAGCCTTGCCAAGGCACCAAGCCCACCCCACACGGGCTCCAAACGGGGCCCTGCTGCCTCCCCCTCGGCTCTGGGCAGGGAGGGCAGCCCAGGAGTACCTGACTGGCTGAGGAAGAAGCAGACATCGTCCCTGAACACGGGGGTGTTCCTGTCCAGGAAGTCACTGGCCAGCTCCACCATGACAGGTAACTCCGTCAGCTCCTCCAGCACCTGCCGGGTCTGGCACAGGAGGGGAAGGAAGGCAGGGATTATTACATCATGTTTATAAAAAAAACTTTCTAGCTGCCACACACGCTGGAAAATATTACTGTTAAAACCCTATATGACAATTAGTGCTGCATTACACTTTAATTACTCATATTGCCCACACTCAAGTCACCACCAACCCCTGTGAGAAGCAACCTTGCCTTGGCACCACCACCAACTTTATTTTCCTGGTTAATAAAAATTCACCTGGGCAGGGAGGGATGGGGGGAAAACACATTGGCCTGTGGGGCCAACTGCTCCCTCACATGGAGATTTCTCTAAGTCCTACTTGTTATATAACCCTCCACATAAATGATGTAATGCTGGGTGTCCTGTGTGTGTCCCAGCCTGAAGAACCCAAATGCCCACCTACCTCCAGGCCCAGCTGGACCCCACCTGGCTGCTAGCAGCCCCTGCCTTGCTGCAGCCTTTGCATTCTGCTCCTGCAGCTGCCTTTTTTAGCACAGCAGGTTTTGTTTTCCAAAGCCTTCCACAGCCATGGAAGTCACAGGAACCACTTCCCTAAGTTCAGCTTCATCAGCTTTTGTCTCCTCCTGCTGCTGCTGTGAACTCAGCCTGGTGTTTGCAGCTTTCACAAGGGTCCTCCTTCACTCACCTGTGTGCACTTGCTTACTCCTAACCTGATTAAGGTTAAGAACCAATCCCTAACCTGAAATCAATCCTTGATCTGCTTGGCACACACCAGGGAGAGCTCAGAGCCTCCAGCAGGGCCTGAAGGGGCTCCAAGAGAGCTGGAGAGGGACATGGGACAAGGGCTGGAGTGGCAGGACAGAGAAAGGGTAGACTTAGATGAGATGATTAGAAAGAAATTCTTCTCTGAGAGGGTGGGCAGGCCCTGGCACAGGGTGCCCAGAGCAGCTGGGGCTGCCCCTGGATCCCTGGCAGTGCCCAAGGCCAGGCTGGACAGGGCTGGGAGCACCTGGGACAGTGGGAGGTGTCCCTGCCATGGCAGGGGTGGCACTGGGTGGGCTCTAAGGTCCCTGCAGCCCACCCCACCCCTGATTCTGGCTCTGGGCCCAGCACTCACTGCCACTCCTGCGTGGTAGCTCGTGCCACAGGCGATGAGGATCAAACGCCGGCACCTCTGGATCTCCTTGATGTGATCCTTCAGCCCACCCAGGTTCACTGTGGGCAGAGCAGAGAGACAAATCAGGGTGGCCAGGGAGGAGGAGCTCCCAAGGTCACCGGTGCTAACAGCCTGTCACCATCTCCATCACCCACTGTGCAGAAAACCATCACAAGTGGGACCTTGCCAGCAGCACAGGGAATTCTGGAGGCACTGTGACACACATTTCATCTGACCCCAGCAAGGTTTCCACCCCCTCCCTCCCCTGCAGCCACCCTGAGCAACTGCTGGACACTGAGTGAGGACAAAGCTCAATTACCAGTGTAATCATCAAAGTTGACCCTTCCTCTCATGGTATTAACAACAGATTCTGGCTGTTCAAATATTTCCTTCTGCATGAATGAGCTGAAGTTACCTATGAAGAAAGAGAGAAAACAAATTAGAACACTTTATCTCCTGATAACTTAAATTTTAAATTACCTCCTGCTAATTGCCATTTTTCCTGTGTATGTAGAGAAAAGCTTGGACCAGCCAAAGATTATTAAATTTTCTGATTTTCTGTCAAAACACCAGCTCATGATGAGAGCTTGATTCGAGTTTCTGGAAGGTGTCAGTGAAGGGCAGATCCAGACTGGCAACTTTGTGAGGGATCAGTCTTGGTTAAAAACCAGATGGTTCCAAGCAGGAGGCAAAATCCTCAGCCCCACAACTCTCCTCAGTAAGGCATCAACAATAAGAGGGGAAGTCCCATGACATGTAAGGACTTTTTTGCCCATGAGGATGACCCAGCACCAGACCAGGCTGTGGCACCTCTGTCCAGACCAAAGCAGAGCCTGTCCCCACTTGGGGCAGGGATGGCACAGGGTGACTGCAGTCCCAAGCTGAGCATTTTGCCCCCAAGCAGGAGGCAAAATCCTCAACTCCACAACTCTCCTCAGTAAGGTATCAACAACAAGAGAAGAAGTCCCATGACATGTAAGGACTTTTTTCCCCATGAGGACGACCCAGCACCAGACCAGGCTGTGGCACCTCTGGAGATGCTCCAGGCTGCTGTCCCCACCTGGGGCAGGGGTGGCACAGGGTGACTGCAGCCCCAAGCTGAGCATTTTGCCCTCAAGCAGGAGGCAGAATCCTCAGTCCCACAACTCCAGACTAGAGGGAAGTCCCATGACACCAAGGACTTTTAACCCCATGAGGATGACCCAGCACCAGACCAGGCTGTGGCACCTCTGGAGATGCTCCAGGCTGCTGTCCCCACCTGGGGCAGGGGTGGCACGGGGTGCCTGCAGCCCCATGAGGCAGGCAGGGCTCTCACCCTTCATGATCTGCTGCAGCTCCATCTGCAGGGTCTGCACGGCCCGGCCCGGGTGGTCGCCGGCCGTGCGCTTGACGCGGTGGATGGACAGACGGCCGTCCACCACGGCCGCCACGTCGTCGTCCTCCAGGAAGATGACGCGGTTGGTGTGCTCGATGACAGCGCTGTGGGGACACGGGGACATCACAGCCTGCTCGGGCACCGCAGCCCCTGCACCCCCAGAGGGGAGCAACCTCCTGCTCTGTTAAACCCTGCAAAGTGCATTTCTGTCCTGGCCACGGTGCCACAAAGGGAATAATTAGCATTGGCTCCATGATTGCAGAAGGCTGATCCATCGCTTTATTAAGCTATATTATACTATACTATTAAGATATACATTATAGTATAGTATATAGTATATGATATGTACTCTATTATACTATACTATTAAGATATACAATATACTGTATTATATAGTATATAATATGTACTCTATTACACTATACTGTTAAGATATATAATATATTACACTGTATTATATAGTATGTAATATGTACTCTATTATACTATACAATTAAGATATATAATATATCATACTGTATTATATAGTATATAATATGTACTCTATTATACTATACTATTAAGGTATATATTATACTGTATTATATAGTATATAATATATACTATGTTATACTATACTATTAAGATATATAATATACTGTATTATATAGTACATATACTATATTATACTATACTATTAAGATATATATTATACTGTATTATATAGTATGTAATATATACTCTATTATGTTATACTATTAAGATATATATTATACTATATTATATAGTATATAATATACACTCTATTATACTATACTATCAAAATATATACTATATTATATAGTATATATGTGCTATACTATACTATACTACTAGGATATATAATATACTATATATTAGCTGGCTCATTATTAATTTACATTAGTAATTTTCTCTGCCCATCTGTAAAACCAGGGCAGTTTTGTGCCCTGGTAAGGCAGCTGAGATCTGCTCAGCAGCACACCTGGAGTGTCACTGAAAAGCTCTAAAACCAGAGCACATCAGGGTGTGCTGAGAGCCTCCACAATCCTCCGATGGAAGGAGCTGCAAAACCAACCACAGCAGTGTTTTTACATTCCTGGAGCAAGCATTTCTCATTTCTCTTGAGCCAGAGAATCCCAAAGACTCTGCTAAGGCTGCTGCCAAGCTGGTCTCTCCTCACTCCTCTGGGATTACCTCTGATCATGAAGGAATTGCATGAGTGCAGAGATCCCTGGAGAATCAACACAATTCTCCTCCTAATTAGCACCTGGCCTGCTAATTTAGGTCAGGACTCTCTCAGGTTTCCTTTCACTGGGAAATCTTACCAACAGATGAGCCTGAAGAATGGTAACACTCTATTCCAAGGCCAGTGCTCATTACTTTAACAGCAACTCTGTTCTGGTTAGCATTTGTGAAGTAATTTGTAAAGTAATTCACAAAGAAACCCCAGCCTTCCAGAGGCCATTAAACAAGATATTTCTACACACACCAGAGATGCTGGAAAACCCTACCTGGCATCAGAAGCAAAGTAATATTCCACAGCTTTCTCCTCCACAGGGAAGAGGCAGGTGGTGCTGTCCACCCGGGACAGGTTGCAGCTCCCCTTCTTGTCCTTCCCTAGGAGACAGGAGGCTCAGGGGCTGTCCAGGTGACAGCCCTGGGCACAGGTGACACCCAGCAGAGCCCCCAAAGCACGGTACCAACATGAAGCACTATTTTCATGCCTGCAGGTGGGCACAGCAAAAGGAGCAGCAGCACCTGTGCCCATCCTCAGCTGGCTTGCAAGAGTTCTGTTGCTTTTTAAGAAGTCTGCAAGTGTATTACTAGTGCAGTCTGAAGTTTAGAAGAAGAGAAAAATCCAAATTAAAGTTTTGTATGGCTCCACTGGCAGAGAATTCAAGGTGCTTTATGAGCAGCCACATTTCCCCATTAAACCTGCCCTGTTTTGTTTTAGATCATTTTAAGTTTCTCCTCTGTTCCTCTCTGCTGAGCCCTCAGAGATGGAGCAGCACTGCTCTTTCTTTGTCTGTTACCCTCAGCACTGGGGGAATTCTTTCAGAGCTGCCACCTGTGTGCCCACCCAGCTCCCCTGAGCAGCACAGGTGGAACCCAAACCAATTTCTGTCTGCCTGAGCTCACTGGCAGACACAGCTCAGGAAATCCAGGATGAAGAGCTCGGCCTTGTTCCTGCACTAGCAAATGCAGCCACCTCACCCTGACCAGGAAATCACCCCTGTGCTCTTGCCAGGGAGGTACCCAGGGGTGCTGGGGGACACAGGACTGAGAGCCAGCTTTGGAAAAATCTCTCCTCAAAGTTCAGCCTTTCACCAGGGATCCTTTCTGGAGTACTCTGGAAATTCCCAACTGTCTCCTCCTCCTCTTCCTCCAAACTGCTGCTCAGCGGTGAAGCTCATCAGGGATGCAGATGAGGCACCCAACACCTACTGCTCAGCACCAGCCTCCAGCAAAATTATTTGCCAGTCATTGTGCAGGGTATGGGGAGGGAGGGGGTGGATTAATCAGCTTATCTCCCAAAATGGGGCTATTGCTGAAGAACAGGAACACTGAAGTTACTCCATGCTATATTTATTGCACAATCCTGATGTTGTTTCACCTACTAGACACTGATCTGATTCAGTGATGCAAGCAGAGCTCGTGGTGCTCCGGCTTCCACTTCTGCAGATGAAAATGTGAAGGAAAAATACTGCTTTCATGTTGATACTCAGTGAGAAAGGCCCACTCAGGCAGTGATTCAGAGCCTTCCAGTTCAGTTATCAAGTCAGTAAATGAGGAAAACAATGCCTTTGTGGTTCAGCTGAGACAGGACAGACTGATTTGGTGTTGAGAAGGGACAGAGCAGAGCTGCCAGTGGCCACTCCCCCACAGAAACACCCAGACCTGATCAGAACATGCAAATTTGGGTTCTCAAAATAGAGCATTTCCCTGCATTGGCTTCATTATGTGGCATTGCTTTCCTGCACAACAGCTTCTGCAGATGCAAGCACATCCTCCTCCTCACAGAAAAGGGCTCTCCTGCCTCAGATGTGAGCTGCTCCATCCCACCATGTGATGGGCTGGCCTTTAAAGCACTTCAGGACAGGCACAGATGGTTCCCCCTGATAAATGAACAGGGGAAGGAAGGCCCAGCTCAGGCCAAGCTTAGTGCAGCCACCAGAGGCTGCAGCTCAGCCTCTCACCATGGCCAGGGGGAGGACAGGGCTCTGACAACCCAAACTCCAGAAGGAATTTTGGGCAATGCTTGCATTAGGATTAGCAGCAGCCTCCTGCTTTAGTGGGGGTTATTTTTAAGGTAATTCACTGTTTCCTTCTGCAGCCAGAGCTGCAGGAACACTCAGTACAAGCTGCACTGTCATCAGTTTTTGCACATATGCTGAGCATTATGTCCCAATATTTGAAGTGGGATGGGTGGATTTTCCTGTGTGCTGCTCATGGTGTTTCTGATCAAGAAGGAATTTTGATTTTCCCACATGTTTCATTACACTACACAGAAAGCAATAGCCACATATTAAAAAGACAATGCATCTTGGTCCCATTCATGATTCCTTTTCTAAGGAGCTGGAGGATTTGTCTGAAATTTCAAGTGTTAGCTTTTCTCTGGTGGGCACCTTCCTCCATTTTTATGGATATTCCATCAAAAGAATGATCCATAGATTGTACAGCTGGAAGTGCAATTGGAAAAAAAAAACAAACAAACCAAATTTGAGATATTCAGTAAAAAACCACAGTGTTACATAAATACATTCATGTTACTGCTAATCATGCAATGAAAAGGCAAAGCTGCTGGGACTGGCTCTTGCAGCAGGACAGGAGAGCAGTTCCTGGGACTCCTGCACTGCTCAGAAGTCCAGCTCCCAGGCACTGAGCAGGCTCAGACCCCTCTGACCACAGTGAATTACAGAGAAATTCTCAGTACTTTTCATTCTCAAGGGTGTCTGTGGTGCTGTGAGAGCAGGATGGACGGACAACATGACCAGGCATTGTCCCATGAAGGGTGACAGCTCCCACAAATGAGGTGGGGTGGCAGGGGCAAGGGCTGTGGCACTGCCAAGGACTGTGACACTGCCAAGGGACAAACCAGGGCTGTGGCACTGCCAAGGGACAGGCAAGGGCTGTGACACTGGCAAGGGACAGGCAAGGGCTGTGGCAGTCCAAGCCCCAGCCTGCAAAGCTCTCTCCTCTTTGCTCCTGAAAAGCACCAGGCTCACAAATGCCAAGGTGCCACAGGCAGAACAGACTTCTGCTGAGCTGCACTGTTTAATTTCCTATAATGAGCTGCTCCAACAGCCCTGGAGTGTCCCAGGCCAGGCTGGACAGGGCTTGGAGCTCCCTGGCACAGTGGAAGGTGTCCCTGCCAGAGGTGTCCTTCCCCTGGCAGAGGGGTTGGAACAAAATGGGCTTTAAGGTCCCTCCCAACCTAAACCATTCCATGACTTTATTTTTCTACACTAAGATGTATTTTCCTCACAGTAACTGCACATTAAAGCTGTGGTTACAACCCCAGAGGCCAGCCTGAGGTATGAGGTGGGTAGAAAGCGTGGTTAACAACTTGTTTAAAAAAAAAAAAAAAACATCTCTAACAATGGTTTCATTTCTGATTACCAGCTGAAAGCTGCATTTCAGAGCACACAGCTGTGCGTGCCCTGGAGCCCCAGGGTTAGGGCTGGGGTTAGGGTTGGGGTTTAGGGTCGGGGTTTAGGGTCAGGGTTAGGGCTGTCCCCTCTCACCTGTGCAGTACAGGATGGGGTTAGGGTTAGGGTTGGGGTTTAGGGTTAGGTTTGGGGTCAGGGTCAGGGTCAGGGCTGTCCCCTCTCACCTGCACAGTACAGGATGGGGTTAGGGCTAGGGTTGGGGTTTAGGGTGAGGTTTGGGGTCAGGGTTGGAACTTTCCCCACTCACCTGTGCAGTACAGGACAGGATATGGTCAGTGGATTGGGGTTATGGTTGGGGTTTTGGGTGAGGTTTGGGGTCAGGGCTGGGGCTGTCACTCTCACCTGTGCGGTACAGGATGGGGTTGGGGTTTAGGGTTGGGGTTTAGGGTTGGGTTTGGGGTCAGGGCTGGGGCTGTCACTCTCACCTGTGCGGTACAGGATGGGGATGTGGTCCGTGGACAGCTTGTGCTCGCTGCGCACGCCGATGAGCAGGGGGCTGCCTCGCCTGCAGGGACACAGGGACAGCTCAGCCCCTGGGGACACCCCCACGCCCCACCCAGGCCTTGTGCCCCCCTCAGCTGCAGCAGGGCACAGCCAGAGCTCCCCAGAGCAGCTGCTACAGACAGTGAAACAATCATGGGATGAAGAACACAAGAAGGAACACAAGAAGGTGAGGAACCTGCATCAGGGTTGGAGAAACTTCCCCGGAGTCACTGCACCCCTGAACCAGGGACTGCCCCTCACTGCACACACCCACACACAGCTTTTGGCACTGGAGCTCAAGCCCAGCTGATGCTGGTGTTGAAAAGTGGGACAGAAAACCTGAACACAAGGTTGGCCCAAATTCCAGGCCATGTGGAGAACGTTTCCAAGTGCTGCCACAAGGGCAAGCACAAAGGAAAAGGGAAAATCCTCTCCTTTCAGGTCATACCCAGAGGATACCAAAACAAAGCTGTTCCAGACCAGGTGTGGTACAGCTGGTCAGTAAGAAATTTCTAAAATAATTCTGGGAACTTTCTGTTATGACAGATGGAAAACAAGATAAAGGAAATTAAAAACAACAACCACCCTCTCCCCAGCACATACAGTGTGATGAGAATGATCTCCACTCTGTCTTCTAACTTGGGGGTACAAAAACAAGTGCCAGACAGGGTGCAAGAATGTTCCTTCCCATGGCAACACTCACCTGGTACCAACTGCCTGCCCAGGGTAATGAACACTCTTGAACACAAGGGCAAAAGCACCTTCCTGCAACAAGAGAAACAAATGTTTATCCCCTCAGCTGAGGCCCGGGCACTGTCTCAGTGTTCCCAGCACAGAAACTGCTCCTGTGCTTTTGTGGACGCAGAAGAGACACCAAGGAGGTTTCACAGATGTTTCCAGAACTGCCTGTAGCTCCAGCCCCCCCATCCTGGAAGGATGTCCCTGCCCTGAGCCTGGCAGCACATCCTCAGCCACTGAACGAGCCCCCTGAACCCCAGAGACACCCAGACTGCCCTGGTTACCCAAGTGGCTCCTGCCTTAGTTCAGGGTGCAGTGAGGGGACCTGCAGAGGCAAAGATCTGCCAAAAGCAGCACCAAACTTGAGGGTGTTTGCTCAGCTGAGGTGTCACAACCCATCAGCAACACGAGTTCCTGGCAGGTAACCCAGAGAAAACCCAGCTGAGTGCTGTGGGTGAGAGGGGAGCTGTGGTGGGTCCTGCTCCTGCACACAAGCAGGCACTGAAGGCAGAGCAGCTCCCAGCAGGGGTCAGCAGCAATCCCTGGAATGATGGAGCTCTGGGAAGGACTGGGAGCAGCTTTGGGAAGGACCGGCAGCAGCACAGACTCTCCCAGGCTGGGGTTTTGGGAAGGACTGGCAGCAGCACAGACTCTCCCAGGCAGGGGTTTTGGGAAGGACTGGCAGCAGCACAGACTCTCCCAGGCAGGGGTTTTGGGAAGGACTGGCAGCAGCACAGACTCTCCCAGGCAGGGGTTTTGGGAAGGACTGGCAGCAGCACAGACTCTCCCAGGCAGGGGTTTTGGGAAGGACTGGCAGCAGCACAGACTCTCCCAGGCAGGGGTTTTGGGAAGGACTGGCAGCAGCACAGACTCTCCCAGGCAGGGGTTTTGGGAAGGACTGGCAGCAGCACAGACTCTCCCAGGCAGGGGTTTTGGGAAGGACTGGCAGCAGCACAGACTCTCCCAGGCAGGGGTTTTGGGAAGGACTGGGAGCAGCAGCACACTCTCCCTCCCCACTCCCACCACCCCAGCCAGGAGCTGACAGCCTCCAGCGCTGCCATGTCCAAGAGCTGAGCCATTTCCCAGCTGAACACTGACAAACCTCCCAGAAAACCAAACACACACCTGAGCTGAGCAGCCAGAGGCAGCAGAGACAAAGCCCTGCCCTGGCAGGTGCCCAGAGCCCCCCGCAGCAGCAGCACGGCCACGCTGCAGCTCCCTGCCAGCTCCGGGGTGCAGGGGGTATTTCTGGGGGTGTGTGCCCCCTGTGCCCGTGCCCAGCTGCCCTCCCTGCGTGCCCCCAGCGTTACCAGCTGCTGGATGACCCTCTCCACCAGCGTGGAGAAGCTGATGTCGTCGCTGTCGCGGTTGTCGTACATGTACTTGACCAGCTTGACGATGCTCTCCGTGTCCGTCTCCGACTCGAAGTCGTAGCCCTTGCTCTCCTGTAGGGACAGCCCTGTGGGTCACCAGCCCTCTGCCTCCCCTCCTTGCCACCTTCCCTTTCCTTGCTTTTACTACTCCTTTCCCTTCACCTTGCCTTTGGCTTTTTCTTCCCTCTTTTTCTCATGCTTTTCCCTTCCTCTGCTCCTGCGTTCCTCCCTCACCTTTCCTTTTCCTTCCCTTTCCTTTTCTTTTTCTTTTCTTCTTTTCTCACCCCCAGGGGTCACTCACCAGGAATTTCTTCAGGTCCTTGTAGTTGGTGATGATGCCATTGTGGATGACGATGAACTCTGGGGACAGAGGAAAAGCCCTGCTCAGCCCCAGGCAGCCAGCAGCTCTCCAGGGGCTCCAGGAGGGGCTGCAGGGGAGCCCAGGATCCCAGGAGGGGTTGCAGAGGATCCCAGGCCCCAGGAGGGGTTGTAGAGGATCCCAGGCCCCAGGAGGGGCTGCAGAGGATCCCAGGACCCTAGGAGGGGCTGCAGAGGATCCCAGGCCCCAGGAGGAGCTGCAGAGGGTCCCAGGAGGGGCTGCAGAGGACCCCAGGAGGGGCTGCAGAGGATCCCAGGAGGGGCTGCAGAGGATCCCAGGGCCCAGCAGGAGCTGCAGAGGATCCCAGGAGGGGCTGCAGAGGGTCCCAGGAGGGGCTGCAGGGGAGCCCAGGACCCTAGGAGGGGTCGCAGAGGGTCCCAGGCCCCAGGAAGGGCTGCAGGGGAGCCCAGGAGGGGCTGCAGAGGGTCCCAGGAGGGGCTGCAGAGGGTCCCAGGAGGGGCTGCAGAGGGTCCCAGGAGGGGCTGCAGGGGAGCCCAGGCCCCAGGAGGGGCTGCAGGGGAGCCCAGGGGCGGCACTGACCGTTGTTCTTGTCGGAGCGCTGCGGGTGGCTGTTCACAGGTTTGGGCTCGCCGTGCGTGGCCCAGCGCGTGTGGGCGATGCCCAGGTGCACGTCGAACTCGATGTCCAGGTCCATGTCCTGTTGCTCTGCAGCAGAAAGTTTCAGTCCTGAGGGGTTGTCCACACCCCAGGTCAGCCTGGGAGTCTCACCAGGCCTCGGGGATACGGGACAGCAATGCAAAATCCCACAGGGATTTCACGGAATCAAGGCTGGAAAAGACCTTTAGGATCAACAAAGGTCAACCAAAACCTCAAGGGGGTTGAGAGCAAACACACAGAAAACATCCCTGCACTCCTCACTCTGTCAAAACAAAAAGCAGCCCTTTAAGGAAGAACCCAAGCCTGGATCAGCAGGCTCTTCACAGCTCATCCCTGAGCTTTACACCTCTGGAAATTCAGGTTTGTGGGTAAAACAGGGGATATTCGAAACAAAAATGAGGAAAGGGAGATACTTACTGTGAACCTCTTCATCCAGAGCCTTCACTTTCCCCGTCTGCTTGATAATGTGGATTTTGCAAGCATTGGCTTCCCAGTCTTTGTCATTTCCTCCATCCAGTCCCACACCTGAACCCCCCCGTGGAACATGGAGAAAGAGGGTCAAGTGCAGAAGTTATTGCAGTGTTTTATATCAACAGATGCTGCCCTTTTGATTCTTCCTGAGCTGGCCTGCCACATAAAGGCAAGAAACCCTTTAGATTAGAACTAAGCTTTCCCTTTGTCATCTTGTCAGTATTTTTAAAGCCATTGGGGAAAAAAAAAAAAAATCAAGAATGCTCATAGAAATCTGTACATTGAAGTTAATCCAAACCTCTGACCACAGGCACATCAGTTTGTGCTCCAGCTTTGTTCAGCAGCAGAAGGTGGCAGAAACCATTCACAAGAAAGCCCCCAGAAAGGGCAGAGCCCCAGCAGAGCTCAGAGGTACCTGCAGAGTCGTAGCCCCGGTACTCCAGGCGCTGCAGCCCCTTGATGAGGGTCTCCAGGATCTCCCTCCTCGTCCTGGGCACATGGTAGTTCAGGTAAGCAAAGATGCCTGCGTGGGGAGAGGAGAATCAGTGCCACCTTGGCTAAATCTGAACCCAAAACAGACACTGACTTCAGACGTTGTTTTCTCCGCGGATTTCAGCAAGCTCAGTCACACCTGAACTAAAAAAACCCCAACCAAGAGCCCAAACCCTGGCTCCTTGTCCCAGATCCCAAATGCTGGCAGTGCACAACAAAATGGGCACAAAGTGACAGTGGCTCCCCACAGGGAGGGGTGGCCCAGCTGGGAGCAGAGGGAAAAGCAGAGTGTTTATCCCTGCTTGTACTGCAAACAAACACTGAACACCCATCCAGGAAGGAGCCAGCTTGGCACTGAAAACAGCTATTAATTACAGCACAATTATATTAACATTATTCATGAGGCCTGTGGAAAAAAAAGCCTGAATTCAAGGCTAAGAATGCCATGAAAAACCCCCAATCCTCCCAAAAAAACAAGCCAAGGAATTCAGTGCTTCTCAGAAAACACACTAGGAAAACTAAGGAAATCAGAAGAAACACAAATACAGTGTTAATGCTGTGAAATATGGACATGCTCTTCCAAAAAGCAGACCCTGGGAGATCCAGTTTTGATTCACTTCAGCTTTTAGATCCTGAGAGGAAAATAGCAAGACTGATAATGGAGATGCCACTGGGAAAATGAAATTCTAAGAACTCATCTGTGAGCAACATATTTTACAAATGAGAAGGCAAGTAAGACAGGGATGCTTAAAACTCACCTTGGTGAAATCAGGAAAAAATAAAATAAAAATAGAATATGCTTAAATGATGCATAATTGAAGTAAAAAGTGAGACCATAAGGCTCCTGTAAAAGAACACAAGTCTTCCTAAATGCATGATTTACTAATCTGCAAGCTAATATCCAATATTTGAAGGCTTATCACCCATTTGTGATACTTATCACGATGAACTATGTGTAAATAAACTTCATTTGTTGGAAATATTTACAAATGTGTTTCATTTTCCCCTTTCCAAACATCCTGTAATGATGTAATGCCTCATAGCTGGGGAAAGTTTGAATCCCCATGTAGAAAACAGCATTTTCTCTGTCTCTTAACCACTGGATCATTCACATCTGAGCAGTCACACCTTGTAACCACTTCTAATTTTAAATCCAGTTCCCAAATGCCCTTCCCAGCCCAGAAAAGGCTTTTGTCACACCCCAGAGCCACAGTGCCCTGTTCAAGCCTTGCTCTCCCCCTCCCTGAGCTGACATCCAAATCAATCAAGACATGGGAAGACACCAAGTGCACAGAGCTGTGCCAGGAGCCCTCTCAGGAGTGACAATTTCTCCCTCAGAGTGACAGCTCTTTGAGATCACCCAATGGAAACGCTGGTTTGGGTGGAATTCCAAGGAGCTGTGCCCCACCAGCCTGGATGAAAGCTGCTGAAGATGCACAAACTCGGAGCAGAACGTTCCCCAGAGCTGAGTTTCGGGTCCCCAGCAGATTCAAAGAGGAGTTTTGGTTTCAGTGCACATTTAGATGCCTTTCCAGGCAATGCTTTCCACACCTGCCCTCTGTGACACTGCAGAACCGACCTGCAAGAGGAAGCACTGCAGAAAACCAGGATCTCCAGTGCCAGTTAATCACTCTGCCTTGCCCAGCCCTGAGCTGGCATTGTTGGAGGTGAAACAAAACGCACATGACACAAAAACCCAGCCCTGGGAACTTCCTCCTCCTCCAGCTCTGCAATTGAGAATTCCCAGCTGCAAGAGGAGAGAGAGCAGCAAGGTGTGCAGGGATCCCCCAGAAAACACAACTCCCCTGTCTGGAGCACACTGACAAACTCAGGACCCAACCCCAACACTTCACAGCACAATAAAACATTTCAGCTGCTAGCCCCACACAGGACTTTGCATGTGTGGACTGGAAAGAGCAACTCAAAGCATGTCAGCTCACAGACAGCTCTTGAATCACGCTGAGATCCACGGTAATAAGTTCTCTCCAGTGAAATAACTTGAACAATATAATCTAGAATATAAAGCATTTCCTTTCTTGCAGGTTTGGCTTAAACATCCCACCAGGGGAACCACCAGAACAGGCGTTCAGCTGCTTCTGACACTCAGCTCTTTCATGGAGCTGATTTTTAACATTCAAGCACAAATCCTAGGCCTTCTGAACACCAGCTACATAAAGAATTCCCTATAAAGAGTTGGCACTTTTAACAGAATAACATTTCCAACAAACGGGCATTATTGATTTCTATAGCTGACAGTCACAATACTTTTTCTGAGAACTTTATTTTCCCCATGAACTTTTTTGGAGCTCAGGTTCCTTAATTTCACCTTCACAGGCAAATGAAATGCATCACCCCTTGCAGGTAAATGACTGAGACACATGAAGGAATTGCTTCTTGCAATCCTTTCCCTACAAAAGCAGAAAAGCCTTCGGGCTGGGTTTACTTCCAAATTCCTTTTCCTATTACTGTTAACTCATTTCCATAGACATTGTTATCAGTACATCCACCTGGCAGTTCCGAGGAATCCTTTATCCCAGAACTGCTGCTCAGCCCTGCTGGAGGAGCTCCTGGAGGTCCCTGTGCCCCAAACCATCCCTTTTTCTGCCCAGTCTGAGGAGCACAAGTCAGGCCAAGCTCGCTGGCACTGTTATGTCTGGGAGCTGCACAGGGGAGAGCTGACACTCAATTCATCACCTCCAGGCTGGGAAAAAAGCAAAACCAGACAAACATCCACCCAGTGGGGATCCACATTTGTCCACTGGACACTTCTCTCGCTGCCCACGCTCCCTCTCCAGCTAAAAAGGGCAGGATTTCTCCTGCCCAGAGTAAACAACCAGAGCAGCAATTGCAGGACTCACTGAGCCACAGCTCCGTGCTCCTCTCCAAGGCAGACACCAGGCACAGCCAGGGAAGGGCTGAATGCAACCCCAGAACTAGAAACTCAAGTCTTTCCTAAGCCCATTTTTATCTTCAGAAACCACTATTAAAGCAAGACCTGAATTGTACCATCCCAGACCTGAATTTTGCCACCCCAAACCTGAACTCTGCCATCCCAGACCCAAATTCTGCCATCCCAGACCTGAACTCTGCCACCCCAGACCCGAACTCTGCCACCCCAGACCCAAATTCTGCCATCCCAAACTTGAACTCTGCCACCCCAGACCCGAATTCTGCCATCCCAAACCTGAGCTCTGTCACCCCAGACCCAAATTCCACAATTCCTTTTGCTCATTAAATCCAGCCATGGCAGATGACAGGTTTACTGATTTACAGAATGGTCTCTGGAGCCCTGGAAAAACCAGTTTCCTGAATGATCTTACAGATGCCATTGAACCACTGGGACCAAAGCACGCCCAGCTCACACCTGGCCAGGTGTTCAAACTGCAGGTGTCTAACACACAACCAAGGCCAAACCCTGTTTTTCACTGACACTGTTAGAAACAAACCCCCAGCACATCCAAACAGTGCTCACAGCAGGCATCAAGGCACTGGGAGGCTCCTTTCCTTCACCTGTTCAGCAGCACCAGCCCATCAGATTTTGCAAGGTGACAAACCTGAAACCAGGCTGAAAACACTGCCTTTGTAATTCCAGTCTGGAAGCTGGAATCCCTTCAGACTGAGGTGTAACAACAGCACCATTGTCACATTTATTTCTTTTAAAACTCATCTTAACCTTTCTGTGGGAATTGGATAAAACTCCGAAGCAAGACCTGAATTGTACCATCCCAGACCTGAATTTTGCCACCCCAAACTCAAATTCTGCCACCCCAGACCCGAACTCTGCCATCCCAGACCTGAACTCTGCCACCCCAGACCCGAATTCTGCCATCCCAAACCTGAGCTCTGTCACCCCAGACCCAAATTCCACAATTCCTTTTGCTCATTAAATCCAGCCATGGCAGATGACAGGTTTACTGATTTACAGAATGGTCTCTGGAGCCCTGGAAAAACCAGTTTCCTGAATGATCTTACAGATGCCATTGAACCACTGGGACCAAAGCACGCCCAGCTCACACCTGGCCAGGTGTTCAAACTGCAGGTGTCTAACACACAACCAAGGCCAAACCCTGTTTTTCACTGACACTGTTAGAAACAAACCCCCAGCACATCCAAACAGTGCTCAACCCGAACTCTGCCATCCCAGACCTGAACTCTGCCACCCCAGACCTGAATTCCACAATCCCTTTTGCTCATTAAATCCAGCCATGGCAGATGACAGGTTTACTGATTTACAGAATGGTCTCTGGAGCCCTGGAAAAACCAGTTTCCTGAATGATCTTACAGATGCCATTGAACCACTGGGACCAAAGCACGCCCAGCTCACACCTGGCCAGGTGTTCAAACTGCAGGTGTCTAACACACAACCAAGGCCAAACCCTGTTTTTCACTGACACTGTTAGAAACAAACCCCCAGCACATCCAAACAGTGCTCACAGCAGGCATCAAGGCACTGGGAGGCTCCTTTCCTTCACCTGTTCAGCAGCACCAGCCCATCAGATTTTGCAAGGTGACAAACCTGAAACCAGGCTGAAAACACTGCCTTTGTAATTCCAGTCTGGAAGCTGGAATCCCTTCAGACTGAGGTGTAACAACAGCACCATTGTCACATTTATTTCTTTTAAAACTCATCTTAACCTTTCTGTGGGAATTGGATAAAACTCCGAAGGTGGGTAGCAGGACAAAGCCAGGTTTGTCCATCCCCAGCCACAATCCCATGACAGAAATGTTGTGTTTGAGGCCCTAGGGAATCAGACCCTGCTCCAGACAAACCAGCAGCTCTCTCACTCCAGGATATATCCCAGAGCAACCCTCAGCAACAGAGACAATAATCCCCAACGCTTTTCTCACTCTCTCCATAAAATGTTTCAATATCCAAGAAGAACTTCACTTGTATCAAAAAAGGGGGGGAACACGTTAAATCCTGAGCACAGCTGAGGAACTGCCCGGTGTTTTCAGGGCAGGAAAGACAAAGAGCAGAATGTTAATATTGCACATTTCAAAGGCTGGACCTCAAATACGGCAAGCAAGAGGCACCAAAACCACCTCTATTCTTGCAGCAAGCTATTTATAATAATAATTATCCTTTCTATTCTTAGCTTTGCTCCGCTTTATACTTTCAACACGAATTAACACGGTGTTAAATGTGAGGTATGAGCCTCTGACTGACTCTCCACAGCTTGACAGCTTGAAGGCAACGCCGGTTCCATCCCACAAAAACAATGAGAGAAATGGCAACTTGCACATTAAGTGTAAAGCACACAGCCTCTCTGAGAGCGTGATTTTGCACGTACAAATACAGAGGGAGGAAAAAAAGAGAAGGTAGTGTGGAAAGAAAATAGGAAAATCCAAGAGATTGCTGTTGCATAAATTTCCATGGAAAAACAGGAAGACAACGGGATAGGAAAAGGATAAATAAATGACATTCCTGTGTGTGAAGGATGGGGCAGGGTGGCCGCATTGCCATGGGAAGCGGAGTGGAAGGAGAGGAGAACCAGAACCAGGACCGGCCCGAGCTCGGGGCACGGTCCGGCACAGCCGGGCCAGGCGGCCGCGCCGCCGCCCGCCCCGGGACGTGGCAGCCGCTGCCGGGGCCGCGTCCGCCGCGGGGGCCGGGCGGACAAAGCGGGGGCCGGGCGGCGGAAACACCCCCGGCACACGGGGATGGGCCCGCTCCCTGAGCGAGCCGGTGGTTCCCAGCCCCCTGACCCGGGCCGGGGGGAGACCGTTCCCGGTAATTCCCAACCCCAGACCGGGGGATGCCCGTTCGTTCCCAGTCTTTTCCCGGTAATTCCCAGCCCCAGACCGGGGAATCCTCTTTCCCAGACCCTTCTCGGTAATTCCCAGCCCCAGACTGGACCAGAACCAGGACCGGCCCGAGCTCGGGGCACGGTCCGGCACAGCCGGGCCAGGCCGGACCCACGGCCGCCCTGTCCCACACCGAGCCAGCCCGGCCCGACCTGACCTGCGGAAATTACCGGGACTAGCAACGCCTAAAAACCACCACCGGCACCCGAGCGGGAGTGGTGCCTCCGGCAGCAGCAGAGCGCGGCCGGCAGCGCCACCGGAGCGCCCCTTCCCTCCGGCCCTGCCCGCCGGGACTGCCCCGGCCCGAGGCAACCCCAGCGGCCCGGGCACGGCACGGGGCACCGGCCCTTTATCCGCCGCCTCACATCCCCACGGTCCGCCGGCAATTCGCCCTTTAAGTCACCGGCACGGTGCGAGCCGCCTCCCCGCGCCGCCCGCACTCGGGATAACGGGGCCGGGCCGCCTCTCGCCACAGCCGGGGCGGCCGTGCCCTCAGTCCCCGCCCGGCCGCGGCCTCACAGCGCCCGCCCGAGCGGCTCTTCCCGCCGGCTCGGGGCCGGCCCGGGCCCCGCCGTGCCCCCGGCCCGGTGCTCACCGCACATGGTGCGTCCCGGTCCGCAGCCGCGCTGTCTGTGCCGCCGGGGCCGCGCCCCTCGCGCCAGGCCCAGCGCAGGCCCCGGCCCGCCCCGCCCCGGCCAATATCTTTATATTAGCAGCTTAAGTTCTTTTATCATTCAAACTGTCATCCTTGTGCAGTAGGTAAAGTATATTATGTATTGTACCTAAGTACTGTAAATGAAATGCTTTAATTGATTTTGTAGGTTCATTCCATTAGTAAATCACATACTAAACAACCATGCCAAGATCACCTCTGTCACATGGATAAAACAGATATAACCACCCACAGCCATCTACTGATTGTGTCCTTTGAACACAATAAGAAGACGGAGAATTGAGAACTGACATTTTGTATTTTGAATAAACTCAATGTGCTTGGAACCAGGTAATTTTTAGTATAGAGACCGGGGAATCCTCTTTCCCAGACCCTTCTCGGTAATTCCCAGCCCCAGACCGGGGAATCCTCTTTCCCAGACCCTTCTCGGTAATTCCCGGCCCCAGACTGGGGAATGCCTGTTCCCAATCCCTTCCCGGTAATTCCCAACCCCACACCGGGGGATGCTCGTTCCTAAACCCTTCTCCTGAATTCCCAGATACTGGAGGGGTTGGGCCCGTCCTCTGAGTCCCCCGGTAATTCCCAACCCCAGATCGGGGGATGCCCGTTCCTAAACCCTTCTCCGGAATTCCCAACCCCATACAGGGGTGTCGCTTTCCCCAGTCCCTTTCCCGGTAATTCTCAACCCCATACAGGGTTATCGCTTTTCCCGGACCCTTCCCGGTAATTCCCAATCCCAGAACAGGGTATCCCCTTTTCCCGGACCCTTCCCGGTAATTCCCAGCCCCATACAGGGTTATCGCTTTTCCCAGACCCTTCCCCGTAATTCCCAACCCCAGACCGGGGTATTCCTGTTCCCAGACCCTTCCCGGTAATTCCCAACCCCAGAACAGGGTACCCCCTTTTCCCAGACCCTTCCCGGTAATTCCCAGCCCCATACAGGGTTATCACTTTTCCCAGACCCTTCCCGGTAATTCCCAATCCCAGAACAGGGTACCCCCTTTTCCCGGACCCTTCCCGGTATTTCCCAGCCCCGGACAGCGGAGGGGAGGTGTTCCCCCCGGTAAATCCCCCTGAGGCCGGGCAGGAGCAGCACCCACGGGATCAGCCCCAGGCGCTCCCGCAGCACTCAGCGTCCACGGGATCAGCGGGTGATGAACCAAGGCTGCTCCGGGCTAGGGCAGGGAACCAGCGGCAGTCAGGCTCCCTGGCTCCATCCTTCCCCAGCCCTACTCTACAACAGCGCCCATTCACAGGCAAGAGAAAGAAAGCATTAAGATGAATCTGCAAAGCAAACTGGGAGAGGCGTAAGTGACCAAGGCGTGACATCCGTGCAGCTGGAGAGCTCAGTGATGCTCTGTCTGATGTCTGTCTGCAGCCACGCTGCTTGGAAACTTATTAAAAGCCTAAGGCTACAACAGGGAGCAATGCCTTAAGAGAAATACCATTCATTCAACTTTATATTACACTAAAATGTCAACAAAGAACTATTTCCTTAAAATGCACAGAAAACAACCCACAACGTCAGGACACATAAAAGAACGGTATTTTGAGCTTGCTGCCAGAACCTGGCCGGGCACAGACAGAGAGGAGAAGGTCACCGGATCTCAGGAACACGAGAAGCCTGCAGCCAGCCCGCAGCCCCCTCCCGGCCTTTGTTCCACAGCGAGGACACCCCGGGACAAGCCCGGCGGGGATCCCGGGACTCTCAGCGCTCCATCCCCGATTTCCAGCCGGCAGGCGAGTGCCCCGCTGCAGTGGGAGCCGATCTCCCAGGTGCAGGGAAGCGCTGAGCCCTGGAGGGTGTGAGGGGCAGGAACACACAGCCTGGAGCAGGCACGGAGCCCTGGAGGGTGTGAGGGGCAGGAACGCACTGCCTGCAGCAGGCACGGAGCTCTGGAGGGTGTGAGGGGCAGGAAAGCACAGCCTGGAGCAGGCACAGAGCCCTGGAGGGTGTGAGGGGCAGGAACGCACAGCCTGCAGCAGGCACGGAGCCCTGGAAGGTGTAAGGGGCAGGAAAGCACTGCCTGCAGCAGGCACAGAGCTCTGGAGGGTGTGAGGGGCAGGAACGCACTGCCTGCAGCAGGCACAGCAGCGCTGCTCCCCTCCGAGCTCACCCTGTCCCCTGCCTTTCCTTCCCTGCCCTGCAGCAGGGAATTCTGTCATCAACAGCACCGAGTGCTTCATCAGAGAGTCAAAGAAAACGTGGTGATTTCACACCGATTTCCAGATTCAAACAACTGCGGGTTATTATTGAAAGCTGAAGAAATATTTAGCTAAAATATTTATTTTCAAATTTCTACCAATAGGCAGTTTATGGTTACCAGATGCTGGTGTGGTGCTATAGAGGAGATTCTCCACCAGCTGAACTGATCCTGTTTAGGGACTTTATCAGTGGAATAATTACACTGGCAAGAGATGAAAGAGGGGAACAAATCAGAGCCTGTCAAGCCAATCATAAGCCAAATGAGGACCACAAACTCAGCTCCGTGGTGGCAGCAAAAAGGAACAGAATTCCTGGTCACAAAGCCAGGCTCCAGGAAGAAATCATTCCCACACACAAAAGTAAACACAGCTCCTTGCAAAGCCCCATTTACGTGTTCCAACGTCAGAACACAAACACTGCTCTGCCATGGCGTGCAGGACTGGAAGGAGCCCTGCTCTGCCACATACAAGGCAAACAGGATGTGGCAGGAGCAAGCACAAACACAGGCCCTCCTTCCCCGTGCCACCCTGCACAGGCAGCCTCCAGCACTGCACCTTCCTCCCAGTGCTGAGAAATCAGCTGTTGCACGGTGGCTGAACGATTTTACTGCTAAACGAGCTCATTAGTCTACTTACTGAAGCTGATAAGGATCATTCCTTTCTAACATTTGCTTTAGAAGGTATGATTTTTATAACAAACGTTTTTTGTTTCTGTTGCTATGGTTTGCACAGTGGTAATGAGCAAGGAGGTAACTTCCCACAAGCCACGGCAGTGTTACATCCCCCAAAATGAACAGTTGATATTATAGCTTATCTTTCACACACAAAAAAATTGATAGGAATCAGCAGCTTTTTAACAAGACTTGATAAAATTAACATTCCTGAAGCTCCCATTTATAGAGTAAGGGCAGACAGTCCTGTCAGTCTCACAAGTTGGGAGAATAAACATTAAATATTGCTATTGCACAAAAAAAGCCAAGGAACTTCTGCCTTCTCTTTTTTTTTTTCAGTACTGAAGTTTCTGTGTGAAAAACCAAAAAAGAAACACATCACTGTTTTCTGAGCCCACCATTTCTTTCTAAAGACATAGCAGAAGAATCTTTTGGTAATCCAGGGCATTTAATAAATTAGTGGATGAACTGCTTGAACTGCATTCTCACAGTAGCTACAACTGTTTTTCTGGCAAGGCAGATCTGGTTGCTCCTCAGCACAAAGATGGTTTACATGCAGCAGGAGGTAAATGTTTATTTGGCCACAGATGACGAAGCTCAAGTAGAATTTGCTTCTTTCTCCACGTCATCATCGTCGTCAAAAACCTGAAATCAAATCCAGAAGTAGTTTAGATAAACAGGTTAAGCTCTCAGTCCTGCAGGATTTATTACATTAAATCCCTGCTGGGCCCAAGGAGAACAGCAGTTATTCCACACCACTGAACAACAACAGGCTCAGGAGGAAGGTAAGAAAAACTGGCAATCCAAAATGCCAGGAGGAAATGAGCTTTAGTTACAGGAGCTGGTCAAGCTACCACAAAGGCCACAAAATGGCTCCAGAGATCAGATATTCCATGAGAAACCCAAAGAATCTGCATTTCAGGGGACAAAGCTCATTGCTTTTTATCACATCAAGTCACCAAAGCACAAAAGTATCAGCAAGTGTGTCCAGCTCTGGGCTCCAGCTGACGTGGAAAACCTGCATCCAAACCCCCCTGGGTTTCCCTAACTGCCAACCTGCCCCTGCTGGAAAGGGACAAAGATCTCCTTTTCCCCAGAAAAGAAAACCTCAGTGATGTCTCCTGACCCACCTGCTCAACGCCTTCCACCTCAGGGATGTAGAACTGGAGCATGTTCTGTATCCCACTCTTGAGGGTGATGAGGGAGCTGGGGCAGCTGGTGCAGGACCCCTGCAGCTTCAGCTGCACAATGCCATCCTCAAAGCCTTTGTAGATAACATCACCACCATCTTCTTGCACTGTGGGCCTGAGGGAACACAACATTCCACTTAAAAGCTCATGAGCTGAAACAGGGATCCTTCCAGAAACCCTCAGGAAAGCAATATTTAATGTTTACAGTAACTGTGAAGACAGAGGGATGTAGGCACTATTTCTCTACAGCCACCTGGTTCACAATTCCAACTCCTGCTCTGCTGGACTGTCTAACACCGAAACCTTTTCTGTAGGCATTGAGATTTTAGGGTGGAGTGAACACCCTGGGGCAGAGCTCAGCCTGCACAGCCAGCCTGGTGTCCTCAGGTGCTGCCAATAAACACCTCAGGGGCGTGTCCCCCCAGGGGTGCAGCACAGCTGTCACCTGTGATAAGAAGCCCTGCTTCCATAAATAAATATGCAGTTCTCCACAATTTACACAGGACAGAAAACAGCCCCAACTATAAAAGCTTAATCCTGCTCAGGGGTGAAGGAAGCAGCTCCTGATAAGCTCACCCCAGTGCCACGAGCATTTCTGCAGCCTCTCTCCCTCTGCCAGCCACAAATGCCCAGCATTGCAGCTCTGTCCCCATAGCAACATTTTTCCAGACCAAGTTAAAACCATCAAGTTACTCTAACAGAAGCTCTTTATACTGATTTCCAAAATAACTCTGAGAGCTACAGTCCTCACAGAAAAATCTGTGAACCTGACACATTTATAAACTCACCACAGCAAATTATCTCCATTCCAGGAAGCCAAAGATCATGATTTAAAATTCCATTTTTCTTACTTGAATTAACTTTTTGACACACTACAGGACCTCTTTCAGATGTACATTCCCCCCATCCTGCACCTTCTGACAACTCCTCTGCATTTAATTTTGATCTGCTG